CCTCAACAAATCACCGGTAAAGTTAAAACGAATTGAAATAAAGTAAAGAAAAAAAAAGATAAAATAAAATTGCAATAAAGAAGCGCATAAAACGACAACTACTACAGCTACAACTACACCACAAAGAGATTGAAATGGGTTAGCAAACGGCCAAGTGCAATAAAAGCAAAAACAACCAAAAGCAACAAGGCAGGTGATGAGCCTTCCGGGTGGACGCAGTACACTGAAGTCATTGGATCAAGTGGATCAATGCTGTGGCTTAAAAAATAGGTATTCAAAAGGACAGACGTATTTATGTAGTTAGACAGATAAGCAGAGAATGAGCTGAAGTGCTTAGTAGAGGAAGAGTCAGTGCAGTCGTCGAAGCTGACAGTGAGTTTAACAGCCCATCGCTACCTTCTCACACACCTCTCAACCGCTGCAGTTGTTAGTGCAATGCCATTTGCTGATTATTTTTATTTTCCTCCGTTTGTTTCGACTTTTCTACGTTCCCCATTTTAACTCTTATCCTTACAATCATCCTCTTCGTTATTCTTAACGTTTAGTCATTGCTCGCTGGTGGTTTCAAATCAATTGGATTTGTATATAAAATACGTAGTAGCACTGTATTTAGCAATGGTTGTTGACTTGCTCGCTGGCTGTCCGGCTGACCTCGTCGTCGGCTCTTGGATGATTTGGTCATTGCATTGCATTCGTTGTTATTGCTGTTGTTGACTGGCATTTAAGTGGTGATTTAGGTGAATAATTTATTAAAGGACGATTGGCAGGTGATTACGATTTACCACTTTGAGTGCACAGACACACACACACACAAAGAAATACCGAATAGCGCAATGGTACAATTGCATATAAATAGTGTATATGTACTTATTTTGTGCTTTAAATAGTCGCATTATTGGTGAGTGGCGTTTGGGATGGCCAAACACTCAGTTAGTTAGACAGACAATTTTAACGCTTACAGTTTGGTTAGTTACAGTCCATTGACGTAAGTAAGTAATCAATTCGGTAATCGTTAAAAAGAAGGTTGTACAATTTCATTTGATTGCATAATTTTAGGTGTTCAACTAGAAAAATATGGGAAAAATTAATAGATTTTTATAATTATGTTGATCGAAATATTCTTTAGGGGGAATTTTCGGCTATAATGAGGTTGAGGAGTAGCTTTGGGCTTTGTTGAGCTTAAAGTGTGCAGTAGTTTATAGTAGTAGTATCCTCTTTAACTGTAAAAGCCTTGAAAACTTAAAATCACCTCATAAAGTTTTGAGTTTACCGCATAATTAGATTTAAAAATTCACTTAACGGATAAAATATTAGAAGAAGTCAATATCAAAATCTGTAGCCCCATCGATAAATTAGAGCACTATTATCAGTAAGTGTATCAGCAAGAAGACGGTAAGGCTTTTTATTATAGAATTAAAGCAATACCGTTAAATGCATATATCGATAACTTCTATAAATATCGATAAGTATGTCCTTGTCGATAAAAATTATGAGAAACGACATTAGTCTAACGATAATAATATCGATAACGCGTAAAATATCGATAACATTTAATATATTGTTATCGATAATTATATCAAGATAAAAAATTTAGCTTATGTTTCTTGATTCAATGGTTTCAAGCATAGAAAATACTGACCGCGCGTATCGTATTCAACCAAGAATATTTTTATGCCTACAACTACAACCTGCAATTACGTCCTTAAGAACCAATTGAGCACCTGCACGAGAGAAACTGTTCTAATTAAACGACCAAGAAAAATGAGAGTTTAAATAAGTGAAAAACCCACCTTTAGAGCAAGAAGTTAACCGCTGAGCTCAAGCTACGCGTTGACGATAGAGTCCTGGAAAGTCCGGATGGCGGAAATAACCTAAGGAATAAATATTGGATTGGCGGTCCTTGGTTGAACCGTTTAAGCTGGAAAACTAGATAAAAAAAACAAGAAAGTTCAACAGGTCCAAGATTAGTACCTCCAAAACTGGTCTAGAAAATAAAGATTGGGGATTGATCTATGAGACGGTTTCATGCCATACATATACTGAGCTCACACCAGAAACCGCATACAAGCTAATTAATGGCGGTGATCAGTAAGTGCATCTGCCGGCTATGATCTCCCAAAAAAAGTTCCACCAGACGCTTCGGTGAGTTGTAATAGGAACGATTAGGTAAGAGAGGCCTCAGAGTCTCAAATGAGCATACTGTGGCATCCACGTATGGCAGATGCCTACGGTTTCAGGCTCTCCGTTGTTACTTCAGATTTTGTAAAAGTGGATGTAAGGGATTAAGCATGAAAAATTTCTGTGATCATAACAAGTTTTAGTCAGGCGGGCGGCACGCTTGGTCACCTTCAGCACGATGAAAGTCTCGAAAAAGAGATTTTGACTGTGATTCATCAACGGCAGTCAAACAATGTGGTTGCAATAGAACTTCAGGGATGGTATCCAATGGACACAAAATTTCAAAGTCTAGGCACCAACAGGCAAGGTAGTGTGACAACGCGGACAGTCCCTGGATTTCGAGGACAAGCTGCGAAGTTATATTCCTTGTGCTCGCGGGATGGAGAGACTACTATTGCAGATGGAAAGACGGGCTAAAATAAAACCAGTTATGCAATATTCTGCGACTAAATTATCAAGCAATCGATTGGAAATTCGCTTTTCACCCAGACCCAGAACATTTGAGCACTTATATTAACGAAAATCATCGCCACTAAATTTCATCGAAAATTGTTTCAGCAGAATAGCAGTAAACCAGCTAGCGGATAGCTAAACCCACCAACATAAGGAATGTTGTGTGTCACTAGCCATAGCGCGTTAGCCAGACTAACCAGCCAACTAGCCCCCGAAGCCAGA